GCAATCCGGCGGCGGAGGTAATCGCCGTACACCATGGCCCCGGTGAGCCCCTGGGATCGCAGGCCCGCCAGGCGGTCGAGGACGGCGTCGTAGTCCTCCCCCAGATCTACCGGCGCCCGCCAGCTGGAGACCTGCGCCGGGGGCTGGCTTGGAAGTCGGAGGCGCGTTTCGTTGGCGAGGGGGGTGTAGAACCAGTCGCTCTTCCAGTCGTCCCACTTCTTGCGGAGGACGCAGGGGATGTAGCGGTTCAACACCGGCCCCCGCGGCTGGAAGTAGCAGCCGCCGACCACCGACGGCGGTGACACCGACTGCACGGTGAAGAACCACCGGAACAGCTGAAGAGAGGGGCGCACCCCAATGAACATCTCGCACAGGTGCGCGAAGATGGCCAATGTCATCACCGCATTGGGGGTGAGGTGCGCCATCTGGAGATCGTAGAACTCCAGGACATCCATGAAGAAATGAGAAAATGGCGGGACCAGCCCAGCCATTGCGAAGGGGAGGAAGAAGATGGACCGCCCCGGGTAGTCTGGTGCCGGGCGCCCCTCGCCCAGCATCACTATCTCCCGACCGGTGGCGGACTCAGGCATGAAGCGGCGCGGCAGTCCGGCGTGCCTCTCGTTCACGATGCGGGAAGGCGGTAGTACACTGCCGTCGAGCAGAGCAGAGCCCCGTGCCATGGCGGTGGAGGAAGAGATGATTGAGAACGAGCGCGTGTGGCGAAAGTAGGGCGTAGCAGAGAAAGAGTTAGAGCTCAGGCGGCGAAGGCAAGAGGAGCAATGGCGAAAGGAAGGAAGCAAATCCTTTTCTCGATGCTTTTATACCCTTGCCATCGCTGGGCCTGGCTCCTCGTTTCTCGCGCCCACTACCTCGCTCCTTCGTATCTCGCTATCTCGCTCCCTCGTTTCCCGTCCCCACGCTTCCACTAATCCCATTCGCCCGCTTACGGCGCATGAAGTGGATATGCGGTTGAGGCGATCGAAACGGATTGTATCGTGCGCGCGTTAATTACGCTCGCCGACCGAAGCGGCGTTGCCGTATCTCCGGGCGAGACGAATCTGCTCGCCCAGATTCGCGCGCTGCTCAAGTGGTGTGGCAGTCTTGAATAGACCGCCCATTATGGACAACCAAAGTTACCAATACCAATGTGCATGGATTGAGACCGTTGGGTATTTTGCCCAACTACGGAGACCGGTCCCACCTGTCACCAGGCTTTAGGGGTGGTGTCGGTGATATGGGACCAGGAGTATCATGACCAGAGGCTTGAGGCAGACGCAATCGCCCACGTGGCCTGGCACCTTCGGGGACGTCGGGCCCGAGGGTGAGGTGTCCGCCCTCCTCCTGATTTCCCCCGAGGGGGGGTCGGGTTACGCTTGCCCCGGCCCCGAGGGCCGAGGCACCCCGACCCCTTAAAGAAGTCTGCGCCACATGTATGGGATAAGTGAGCACAGCTGTGCTCACCTAACAGCATTTATTACAGTCTGGTCAAGCGTGTCACGCTGCATGTAACGCAGTACAGCACGCTCTTTTATCCGGTCTGTGACCAGTCACAGACCGGTCAGATCAAGGGTTAGGTGGCGACTGGCGGTCTGACGCGCGCCTTGCCCCATCCCGTCAAGACGAAAGCCTCTAGGCAACTCGTCTCAAGCCGGAGCTAGCGTGTTATCTCTTAGAGATGGCACGTTAGCCCTGGTTAGATTTATACCAGGCTTCATCCTAACCATTACAGGCAAGGTGTTACACGAAGAAGGGCAAACATGCATCTTGTTAAACTGACACATGGTGGACAAAAGTGACCAGTCTGACACTGGTCGCGTCAGCAACGGGCAGCCACGATCCCACGTTGTGCCCGTCTCCGCCGGGAGTGGAGGTAGGTGTGGGCTGTCCCATCGAAGTGTCATTCGAACAGCAACCATACCAATCTCCGTCCATAAAGAGAAGAAAAGTCCAGTTTGGAAGGAGGAGGGTGCATGTGGTATCCCCTTGAAGTATAAAAGGAGGACCTTGCCCATAGAGAAGGGGGTTGGTTGATTCTTTTCCAGATTTAGAGCTTAGAACGGGGGAGAAGTTGGCTGACACTTGGTAGCTCATTCATACACCAATCCACAAAAACACAGGAGTAGGGTATTACGCTTCCCAGCGGCCCGAACCTGTATACATCGCCGTGTCTCGTGTTTCTTCCTGGCACGCGATCTTTCCACACACAGCGAGAGCTTGAGATCTCACCCTAAGCCCCCGGCCGAACTGGCAAAGGGGGGCCTGCGCGGTCTCCCGGTGAGGAGCCACGAGCTCCGTCAATATTAATCCAACGCTATATAACATACCCTGTTGTATAGGCTCAACCATTCTGAACAACCATCCCGGCTGCACAGTTCTATCTCCAAACCAGGAATATACCATTCCAAACCAGAAGCTAATCAAATTATTACCAGTTAGAGCACCTTTTATTATGATGAGAAGGGTGAGACTAATCACGAAAGACATTGTTAGACCCGCCCATAACCGCGGGCACGGCTATTCGAATAGTTTTACTCTGATCAGAGGTGTACCACTATACCCACAAGACACAACCCCACATCATGTCACCATGTGCCTCAATACCACCACAGTACCTCGGAAAGGAGTTGTGACAATACCCCTTGCACAACACAATCCATTACGGCACACCTTTCCTGGATCATAATCACCCCCTTATAAACAAGACATGGACTCCCCAGCGACCCCCGTGGGCTTATCTCCGCCACTTCTCAGTCTGGTGCTCCGCAATGAACCATGCTATACAAAAGATAAAGCCGTTGCCCACGCTGGCTTGTGGTTGGCATGGTTAATGTTTCACAACCGAAACTCGTGAACCGGTCCTTAATTGTCATGAGCACGACTCTCAAAACCATGTGCTCACAACCCACCATTATCAAGTTTTAGTTGGTAAGTAATTAATTAACCTAATCACGATTGACCATCGTGAACTATCATTATGCCATCATTAAATAATAGTGAGTCATAAGTTATCCCAAAAGTGTGCTAATGTTTCTAAGCATGGCTAAGCAACTATAAATAACATCTAGCTGAACCAATCCAATATATAAGGTCCATGCTAGTCAAATTATAACCCATAGGAAAATAAAGTCATCTTCGGCCATAATTAAATGGGAAAGGCTCACCACCCAATGACATTCGAAAACAATGCATAAGTTGAAATAAATCAATAGCTTTAAACAGATTCAACATGCTCAAAGGGTTGTGTTTAGGATCTGTGTGACTTGCCTTGCTGGCCTTGGAACTCTTCAAACTCTTCTCCTGCGAAAACGGACTCTCCGGAAACGACGGAATCTAAACAGAAAGAAGCAAAATCACCAAAACAGCACATAAACAAGCATGAACAGTACATGTGGATATTTTTATCATGTAGATCTCAATTTTAGAAAAATTTAGAGACTTGAACCAACTAAATCCGAGCTAAGATGAATTAGTTATGAATTTTTGAAGATTTAATCGGATTAAAACACTTATATTGATTTTAATTGAATTATGACGCAATAATGAATTATTTTTGAAAAGGAAAAATAGATTTATTGCGTCAGCGGCTAGGGTTTGCGGTTGACCGGGCGCACGGCGGCGGTTCACGCGAACGGACGGCCGAGATCGATCCATCCAAAACGGACGGCCGAGATCGATCGGTCCACGACCGGCTCACGGGAGACGGGGACGATGACGTCGGCAATGACGTCACCACCGGCGGCGGCGGCTCGGCGGCTCGACAGCTCGGACGGCGCAAGCTCACCGGCGAACGGCGGCGCTAGGGCACAAACGGAGGGCACCAACGGGTAGCGGACGGCACGGCGAACTCACCGGCGACCAAAGCGACGGCGGAAGAGGAACGGACGGCACCGGCGGCGAGGTTGAAGCGGCGGCGGTCTTCGGGTCGACGGCGGCAACGTGAAGGAAGGTTTAGGGTTCGGAGGAGAGAGACGAAACCGATTCGATCTCGAATCCAACGATTTCCAAACCGATTTAGCCGATGTTTCCAAAGGAGAAAAGGCGGAGGAGATCCCGAGGATCATTTCCCCTCTATCAATTCGGCCGGAGAAGGAAAGAAGCGGCCGGATTTGGAAGGAAACGACGGCGGCGCGGCGCTAGGGTTTCGGACGGCTGCGGCGCGACGAAGACGACGACCTGACAGGCGGGACCCACCTGTCAGCGACAGCGAGGGCGCGGCTGCGGACTGGGCCGGACTGGGCCGAGGAGAGAGAGAACGGTTTTGGGCCGACTTTCGGCCCAAAGCCAAAAGAGACTTTTAAAAACCTTTTTCAATTTAAATTATTCATGAAATGCAATTCCATTTATTAAAAATACTTCCTTAGCTCAAATAAATCCCAGAAAAATCTAGGAATTATAGAATTAAGCAAAGTATTTAATGAAATTTTATCTGGCCCCATTTTATATTGGAATTTATTAATTAAAAAAAATTAGATCTTCTCTTCTAGGCTTTTAAAAATAAATTCTAATAATTCCAATTAAACAACAATTTATATATTAATGATTTTCAGGGTGTGACATTAGATAACATACACGACATGAGGGGATATCCCCTCGAAATAGTATGTGCATGTCACAAATTTTAACACATTTGTTAATCCATGCACCAAAATTCCTACTTTAAACAGAAACTTCATGCTGAAATCCCTCCCACTATGGCTCCATCCTAATTTAATGATCCACACCAAGAACAAGGACAACAAAACAATGCTCCGTTGATTCAGTCCAACAAAAAATAATTCACTGTTGCATGGCTTGAAACCAATAAAAAATAATTTTGATTAGTACTTTGTTAGATGATGATTATACTAGGAAAAGGGGTAAACTACATTTTTTTTAAGACGAATACAGGTGCTCCACAAAATTAGCGTGACCATATGGCCAAAATGACTTCATGCCTTCATGGACAACAAGGTACTACAACGTTGGCTACTTGTTTGCTCTGTAATCTGATCATCTTGGCCTCAAACCAGCATAGGATGACGTCGGTGAGCAGTCCGCCTCGCACCGAGGAAGACATCAGTGAGCACTGTCTTTGACTGCAACGAAGCCTTCAGCACAGCCAAACCCTATACGTATAAAAACACATTCAATATTGTTAATCGAAAGCTCAAGGTTTAAAACAAATTAAGCCAAACTGTACATGAGAAAATAATTTCAAGTGTGGATATCTAATCAAGTCACCTCGTCGTAGCCGACCTCGACGGTCTTCTCCTGCAGTCCCCTGATGTCCGTCACGCCAAGCGCCACGAGGGCGGCGACGGCGGAGACGGTGGACGACGGCGCGACGGTGAGGTCATCCATCACCGTGTACGTCACCTTGCCCGGCGCGTAACCAGCCTTGCTAGAGCTTGCCTCGCCAGACGGCGCCGCCGGCGACGTCACGACCTTGGCGCCGGCGCCGGAGACATCGTCCGGCTCAACAAGACTCACCTCGGTCGCCATCTTCCTCTTGCACACCGGACACGGCGTGCCGTTCACCTTGGTCACGAAGTTGTAGCAGCTTCTCGAGCAGGCGCAGCCGCTGCACCGGTAAAGGGCGCCGCCGCCGTTGTCGGCGTCCGCCGGCGAGCCCAACCGGAGGGCGGCCGTGGGCGCGAGCAGCGCGGCCTTGACGTCGCCGCGGCAGGCGTAGTCGGCGCCGAGCTTGTCAACGACGCTGCCGTAGAGGTTGCCGACGGAGCCGACCATGTCGCCGGCAGTGAGCAGCTTGGTGACCCCGGCGAGCGGGACAGCGAGGAGGGAGAGGAGGAAGTCGACGACGTCCTTGCTGCCCTCCGCGTACAGCACGCGCTGCGCCTTGGTGTCGACGAGCAGCTTCATGGTTAGAGTGGCAGCTTTAGATGTTTTTCCGGCCATCTCACGGTCACACACTCTTGCGTACGAGAGATCAGAAGCACCAAACTAGAATGGAGAAGGTTTGGATTGCAGCGAGATTTGAAGCAACCTCGAAATTTAAATGGTCTTTTTTTATAGTGGAGCTGTACGATGCAGGCACATCAATGCGAATGACACCGTGCACGTCGCTTCGTTTCCCGGCCGTGACATGGACCGGCGCACGAAGTCACGAACCGCCGGAAGAGGGGGAGAGAGAGAGAAACGAGAGGAGACTAGAAAGCAGACGATGGGACGAGAAAAGTCGATGATGCATGGGTCCTACCTCCATCCATATCCCTTCTTTCTATAATATAAAGTTAAGGCCAAAAACTCAAACCACATGCTTCTACATCATCATCAAATAGTGAACCGTTGGATAAATGCATTAGATCGCTTCTCAGATGTTGGATAGAATGTAGCATAGAGCTCAACCCATTAGTCACCGGGTGAGTCTCTTCGCCTCTTCAGTGCCAAATGTAACCCACATGAACACATTGGCCCATCTCCACACACATCTATATGTATCTAGCCCGTCAATCTGTATAAAAGAGCTTTATGACTGAATGCCCCTTCAGTTGACATGTGCTACCTAAATTATCTACAAATTTTGGATAGAGCTGCTAAAAAGAATTTATTCAAGAAAGCTATTTGTTTCTTCTGTTTCTTTTTGAGATTGTACCTCATATCTAACAATTTGATGTTAACCAAGTCTCGCAGCAACACGCGGGGCATCCTCTAGTTGGTACTATGGCTGTGTTCGGGAGGAGGGGTCTCCTCCCCGGCACGCAAAATGAAACCCCTCCTCCATCTCATATTACTCGCTTTAAGTTTCTGTTTGTAACGAAAATGTTTGATCATTCGTTATTCACTCTATTATTTATTTTGTTTGTGACTTACTTTATTATTAAAAGTGCTTTAATTGAATTATCTATTTTTATATTTATACTAATTTTTCAAATAAAACAAATGATTAAACGTCGAAGAAAAAGTCAAAGCGATTTTTATTATCGAAGAAGATAGTACGTCAATAGAAATATTTTTTTCAAACCATCAAAAGCGTTTATTTGCATTGGTTTTTAAGGTGCGGGAGATGTTATTGGCTTTGAAGATGCCGGAGATGTTATTTCCGGTTGTGTGGTTTAGAAAGACAATTCAATGAGGAAGAGTCAAAATAGACTTTTTCCCTCCGATAACGTGGGCATTCGTGGTGGGCCGTTATGTAAATGGGCCGAGAGGAGTGGTCCGATTTACTACAGGCTATAAAGGAAGCAAACCTACTGCTCGTGCTCATCGTCCTCGCCGTCGATTCCCTCCTCCTCCTCGCCGTCGTCGCAGGCCGGCGGCTGCGGCGGGCAGGCCTGCGGCGGGCATCAAGGGCAATCCATTGTGTGAGCGAGTTCCTCACCGTCCTCCGTGCTGTACATTCTCCTCTCACCTTACAGATTGCTCTCTATTTTTGTTTTCCTTACGCGCGATGAATCTGCCCTACCTGATTATTTCGTCTAGTTTAGGGATCCTCGTGGTGGTTGTTTCTCCACCTTATTTTCGGTTGGTTTTTCTCCTAATATATATATTTTTATCGTCAGCCTTGCAAGCGCTTGGAGGTTTTGGGGACGGAGGGTTTTGAGTATGTGGGTTTTGGGGGAGGGAGGTTGTATGAGTAAATACAGATTTTTTTTTCACATTTTCCATATTGGAGACTATTGGAGTATGGTGCGTGATTGTCCACAATTTATTCACACAACTATGGATGCCTCATTGATTTTCATAACTTTTTGAGTATCGCGTGTGATTTGTTTCTCGAAGACGATATGGCGTGTGATTTTCCACAGTTTATTCAAACAACTACGGATGTCCCGTATTGATAGCAGACCGGAGATCTAGCAATGCAAACGAAATGATTATTTGTAGTTGAATATTCTAGTATAATGGAGTTTCCTAGCATGATCCAACTGTGAATTCTAGCCCAAAATATAAAGGACTACCCAATTTGAATGGAAGAAATAAAAAGTAATATAAGCCTGATCTTTGGTATTTTTAGTTTGTGTCTAACACTATGTTCCACTAATCTTTGTATGTCCTTACCTGCTTATGCAACGCTGCAAGCCTGCAACCTATGAGTTTGCCTGTAAGAACATTTATAAGATTGTGGTTTATCCGTTTTTCCTGCTTTTCCAAATGACATGTTCAGAAAAGCAGACTACTGCACTGAATTCATTTTTCTTTCGCGAACGTGTAAAAGGATTGCATGGCATCCCATTTAGACGAAAGCAAGTTGAACCCATTTTTCCATATCACTATTTGGAAAATATTAACAAACTGCTCTATTATTAATACTTATATGAAATTTGGAAATTATGTTATATATGCATGAATTGTTACCTTACTCCGCAGGAGAATTTGTATGTAGGAGGTCATTTTTTCCCCTTACTTTAGAGCAGCTATCAACCAATATAATCTAGATGTTTCAAACTTTCAATGGAATACAATCTGGAACATGTTTTTGCTTTATCTGCTTTAAATTATAACGCTTTCTCTGAACATTTGGACGATAACTGTAGTTAATTGAAAACCCATTTAATTTTCTTTTGCTGGTGATTGCAGAAGCAATCAATCAACTCCCAAGAAATTTAAAGAACTTCGAATAAAAAGGATCATGGCTGCCGCTGAATTGTCGATCAAGCTCGTGATTGATACCAAAGCTCACAAAGTCTGCTTTGCCGAAGCTGGCAGTGACTTCGTCGAGTTCCTCTCCAGCCTCCTTTGTCTCCCTGTAAGCAATATCATCAACCTGCTTACCAAGGAACATATGGTTGGAAGCATTGCAAATGTGTTTGACAGCGTGGAGAAGCTGGACGCCGATCATGTAATCTCAAACGAAAGCAAGGAGCCTTACCTTAAGCCAATGGTTGCCCCTGGAGCGCTCTGTCCTTTGCAGCAGCTGATAGATGCACAGCTAGACACCGATACCAGCTTCTTCACATGTGAAGGGAAATTGAACCATTACCACGGCATTCGTGTTGCTTGTGGATATTTTACGGTTATGAAAGGCAGCATTTGCCCTAAGTGCGGCTACGCAATGGAGAAGGCAATGGCACATGTCAAAGCCACTGGGTTTGTGGTTGGGACAGCCAGGTACACTGTCAAGGATGATCTCTCAATTGTTCCAGCATCCAGCGTGTCAACCATCAGCTTGCTTGCACAATGCGGTGTCAAGGACTTGAGCACGCTGCAGGAAAGGACCGTGAAGATTGGCAAGGAAGAGGTTTGTACATATCTATCAGAATCACTTTGAGTGAAGAGAACAGTCGTAGTCGTTTTTCTTAATTGGTGTGGTTGATGATTTTCTGTGTTACAATGTAGGCACTGGAGATACTCCTTGCATCCCTGAGGACTAAGACCGTGCTGACTGATGTATTTCTCCTGAAGAAAAAAGTTAGTTGCAAGAGGGAGGCTGCTACTTAGTTAGTATGATACATGTATGATACATGAGCAGTTTTACCAGGCATCGCATCTGAGAAATTGGAAAGTTCCGTACAAGTTACAGACCTTCATTGTGAGCATGGAGTAGGTTTCCATTTGTCTTAAAGGGAAAGCATCACTTTGTATTGCTCATTTTTAGATTAGTCTTAAATACACTTGGAATAGTTTTTTTTTAATAGAAATGTTACAACCCAGCCAGTGAAATCTTACTGTCAATTTGCGTCTCGCTATAAATATGTTTCTGCTTGCCTTCTAGAGGTAAATGTAACAGGTATGACTTCATTTTTTTTAAAGGATTGATTGCATTCGAGGGTAGAAGCACCACCAAGGATGAAGGTTGAGATGCAGCGAGATTTTCACAATGACGGATTTAAAAAGAAATAACAGGAGGTCTGAACAAAGTAAACACTTCCTATCTAGATAGAACAAAAAATTTTAGTAAGACCTCGTAGGGCCTCTCATGATTCTCATGCCGATAGTGGAGGCTTAGCCCTCTCATGGTTCTCACGCCAATAGTAGAGGCTTAGCCCCCGTCGTCATCATGAGTTAATATTTCCGTCTCAAAATATAACAACTTTCGGTGTATGAAATTTATTTTAAAATATAACAATATCTATCGCATACATTTTTGTCCCGATCAATAACAATCTTTCCTCTCGACGAAAGCGATCACAATCTTTTTTCATTTAATTCAATCAACTTTTTTAATAACCTTATTCAACTTCCGACTGACATCGTGCACGTCGGTTCGCTTCGTTTACCGACCGTGGCTGCGTTGGGGAGTGAGGGTTACCAACGCTACTCTCTAGCACGCAAAACGGAGCAATGTTTAGCGCATGATTAATTAAGTATTAGCTAATTTTTTTTCTTAAAAATAGATTAATATGATCTTTTTAAGCAATTTTCGTATAGAAACTTTTTGTAAAAAACGAACCGTTTAGTAGTTTGAAAAGCGTGCGCGAGGAAATCGTGTAGCAGAGGATGGGAACAGCCACGGCCGAACACAGCCTGTCAACGTGCAGCTCCTCCGATAACATGGGCCGGTATCTGTAAATGGGCCGAAAGGGGGGTCCCGCTTTACAGGTCGTGGTCTGCTCGTCGTCTTCGACTCTTCATCGCCACTCGCCTCCCTCCTCCTCTCAGGCCGGCGGCTGCGGCAGCGGCGGCGGCGGCGGAGGCGATCCATCGTGAGCGACTCCCTTTCCACAATTCCACCCATCGTGCTATACATTCAACTCTTAACTTGCAGATTGCTCTCTCTCGTCTGTAGTTTATTTTATTTCTGGTTCTCCTCACGCGCGATGAATCCGCCCCACCTGATTTCGTCCCATTTCGTCTTGTTAAGGGATCATCGTCGTTGTTGATTTCTCTCCTTTTTTTTTCTCCCGGTTCATTTCTCCTTGAATTTTTGACATGATCGCCATGAACCACAGGTTGTGAGCGTTTGGGGTTTTTTGGGAGTGAGGGTTTGGGTACGGGGGTTTTGGGGAGAGAGGTTGTAAGGATGATAATTATAAAGAAGAAACCGACTTGCGTTTTCTATATTGGAGAGTATTGGATTATGTTGGAGCATGGTGTGTGATTTTCCACAGTTTATTCAAATACGGATGCCCCATCGGTAGCAGACCAGACATCTAGTGAGTCAAACGAAATGGCCCTTGTTTAGTTCCAAACTTTTTCTTCAAACTTCTAACTTTTCCATCACATCAAAACTTTCCTACACTCACAAACTTCCAACTTTTCCGTCACATCGTTCTAATTTCAAACAAACTTCCAATTTTAGTATGGAGTAAACACACCCGTAAAATCTTTTTCTATATGGTTCAGAATAAATATATATACCCATCAACCTATGTTTTCAATACTTTTAGGGACCACGGATCCATTGTGAGTCAATTCTATCCTAAAATAGCCCGGAATTCTATCCTAAAATACAAAGGAGTGATTGATTTAATTAGGAATAGTAAATTTAATTGCAGAAAAAAAAAGTAAGATTAGGCTGCTGTTGAAGGCTTACACTTCACAAGTTGACATAACATGCATATACTTGCATGTCTGTAGCGCTTAACTGCTTGTACAAAACTACAACCTATGATTTTGTCTGGAAGAACATTTATAAGATTGTGTTTTCTAGGTTTTGTTTTTTTCCCATGCCTTGCCAAATGAGATATTCAGAAAACCAGATTACTTGGTCTGAATCCATTTTTCCATATTACCATTTGGAGAAGATTAACATACTGCTGTGCTATTACTTATTTGGAAATTGTGTTATATGCATAGATTGTTTAACTTAGTCTACAGGAGAAGTTGTATTTTTTGTATATACATAGGAGATCACTTTTGCTACTTTGAGCAGCTGTCAACCAATCTAGATGTTTCTTTCGATCATATATCTGGAACATGCTTTTGCTTTGCCTTCCTTAAATTTCCCTGGACAATTCAATTGCCTGTATAATTTTCCACTATGTGCCATTGTGCTACTCATAACTGAACATTTGGACCTATAATCAATTAAAAGCCTGTGTAATTTTCTTTCACTGGTGATTGTAGAGGCAATCAATCAACTACCAATAAATTTAAAGAATTTTGGTAAAGGGGAAAAATCATGGCTATGAAGACATTATCGATCAAACTCTTGATTGATACCAAGGCTCAGAAAGTCTGCTTTGCCGAGGCCGGTAATGATGTCGTAGAGTTCCTCGCCAGTCTCCTTTGCCTACCAATGAGCACCATCATCAACTTGCTGACCAAGGAGCGTATGGTTGGCAGTATGGGGAACGTGCTTGACAGTATGGAGAAGCTGGAAGACAAGCATGTAACCACAAACCAGAGTAAGCAACGCTACCTGAGCCCGACGGCTGCCCCCAACGCACTCTGCCCATTGCAGCAGCTGCTGGATACAGAGTTAAATGCCAATACCAGCTTCTTCACATGTGAAGGGAAATTGAACAGCACCAGCTACAATGCCACTCGTTTTGCTTGTGGATATTTTTCGGTTGTGAAAGGCAGCATATGCCCTCTTTGCTACACTCCAATGCACAAGGCAATACCACATGTCAACACCTCAAGGGTTATGGCTGGGACAGGCACATACACTATCAAGGATGATCTCTCAATGACTCCAGCGTCCAGTGTCTCAAGCATCAGCCTTCTTGCACAGTGTGGTGTCAAGGACTTGACCACGCTGCAGGAAAGGACCATGAAGATTGGCAAGGAAGAGGTATACTATACTACTTTGTACATATCTGTCACTTTGAGTGAAGAAAAAAAAATCTTAGTCGTTTTTTTTATTAATTGGCATGGTTGATGATTTTTGTGTTCAAATTTAGGCGCTGGAGATACTCCTTGCTTCCCTGAAGTCTAAGACCGTGCTGACTGATGTTTTTCTCCCAAAGAAGAAAGAAAGTTGCAAGAGGGAGGTATCTGCTTAGTTATGATGCATTGATGCATGAGCAGTTTTACCAGGCATCACAAGTGAAAATTACAACAGCTTGTTATTAAGCCGACAGTAGATTTCAGTAGGTCTTTATTGTGAAGTGTCACTTTGCATTTCTTATTGTATCCATTTAGCAAAAGTAGTATTTCCTTCGTTTTCGTTAATGAAAGCGGGAGAGGTGCGGCCTCTTTTTATCAAAAAAAAAAAAGAAGCAAAAGTAGTCTTGCAAATAGTTGGCTTACTAGTTTGGTAGTGATATGCAATTATGCAGTATCCACCCAATGAAATCTTTCTACTATCAATTTGGGTGTCTCACTAGAAATATGTTTTTGTGTTCTTTTTGTGTCATTATCTAAAAAAATGTACCTGTGTGCCTTCTACATGCAAAAGAGACGGGTGTGATTTCGGTTCTTGTAGAATTGGTTCAGAAGTGATCCAATGCTATCTGTGTATATGAATTCCAAATTCAGATATTTTACTGTTAGCCGTCATAGTCCAGATCCATTGCCAATTAACAAGTGGGAGTGTAAAATAGTCATCTTTGTTTGGATGAGTTCTGGGTTCCAAGTTCTTTGTTCAGGCCTTCCGGGGCTCACTGTGAGAGCCTTTATCTTTATCCCGCGATATGGTTTCTGATCTTTCCGTGTATTTAGTCTTGACCATTTGTATTTACTCATTGAAAGGATTGACAAATGAGTACTCGGGTTATAAATATTTCATGTTTAGTATAAGATTTGGACAAGGTTTTAAAAACTTTAAACATCAATATTTTCTCAAATGCTTAGTTTAAAGAAATGTATGGGTATATTTGCCTTTAAAAGTAATATTATACATAGATTTTTCGTATAGTAGTAACTTTTATCCCAAACAATGACCGGAGGAAGTATGTATTTATAATTGGGTATCTAAGTAATATTCAGGAGAGTGGATTCATAATTAGTTTATCATATATTAATCTATCTTATTAATTTCTTGATAACCATTTAAGTGATATGTAAATAATGATAGCATCCCCTCGGTCTCTCGAGAGTTTAGAATAGTTTGCCAATATTCAGTACAAGATCTTTTACTCTAGTCAAGTAGTACTTTATATGTGATTATTTTTTTAATTTTTTCAAGTATGATGGACAATCAAACATTGGACACGAAATTCCACAACTGCACTTATATTGGGACAGAGGTAGTAACTATCAAAGACTCAAGGGTCCAATATGTCACGATCAATCATAAAGACAACCTTCTTTTTTTTAATGATTAGTATTATTTATTGCTATTAGATGATAAAACATGAACAATATTTTACGCGTGACTTCTATTTTAATTTTTTTCAAAAAAATTTAAAAAGACATACGATTAAAGTTGAACATGGAAACTTATAGTTACACTTAAAATAAGACGAAGGTGTAGTTCCATTCGCAAGATGATTACGTCATCATTTCCAAGCTGATAAAGTCACGTCTCACGGGAAAAGGATTGATGTACAAAATAATATTCAGAATAAATTCGATTGAAATGTTTAAACCATTATGGTCCAAACAAGAAAATAACTATGAACAAGCCAGCTGTGTACTCTTTGTATGGGGGCATTTAACTATTTGCCACTTTTAGATTTAACATTTAACTATTTGTCACCCATATGTCAATAACTCATTAGTGCATGATTAATTAAGTATTAGCTAAATTTATTTTTGAAAAATGAATTAATATGACTTTTTTTAAAGCAACTTTCGTATAAAAATTTTATAAAGACGCATCGTTAGCAGTTTAAAAAACGTGCGCACGAAAAAAAGAGAAATGTGAGTTGGAAAACTCAGCTGCTGAACACAGCCTAAGAGTCACGGCAGGCTGTGAATAAAGAGCAGCAAAGAAGAGAAGGAAAGCTGACGGACGCTGGAGGGCGAACGGATGGGTAGCGACAACAACGAAAGAGTATGGACAAGGACAGCATGCAAACGAGGAGAAGTTGGTAGTGGGCTAGTGGCTAATGGGACTTTCTAAACATTACAATAATAGATGGCTATTTTTTTCTATAAAATCCTTAAATTTTAGCATAGTAGGATAAGGAGTCTCTTGGAAATACTTAGTCAAGTAGAAAATTTACTACTTCCTTCTTCCTAAATTATAAGCATTTTTAGTTATGAATCTGGACAACATAATCAAAAGTTGTTATATTTTTGGGACAGAGGTAATACCGTTTAGTTGCTTTGTTTATTTATTTCACTCACTCAGAAATAACATATCACTGATTTATAAACTCTCTCTATCCAAGAAACATGTCTATATGTATGCAATACGATATGTTGGTGATATAAACATAGCCAACAAATCTACGGTTCCACAAATTTTAAAGATGCAATGAAAAAATATAGATAAAATCATATCATAACGTAATTTTATTTTGATGCTAACCGCACAATTACGCGGGCCCTGAAACAGCACACGAAGTCAGGAAACGTCAACGTGCAGCACCTCCGGCAACTCCGATTACGGCGGCATCGGGGCGGGCCGGTATTTGTAAATGGCCAAAGGAAGCAAACCATTAGGCTACTACTACTACTACCCGTGCTCATCCATCATCGTCCTCGACTCCTCGCCGTCGCCTCCCTCCTCTTTGCCGTCGCAGGACGGCGGCAGCGGCAGCGGCGGGCATCAACGGCGATCCATTGTGTGAGCGAGTTCCTCTCCGTCCCCCGGTGCTATACATTCTCCTCTCACCTTGCAGATTGCTCTCTCTCTCTCGTTGATTTGGTTTTCCTCATCGTCGTTGATTTCTCTCCCTTACTTTTGGTTGGTTCTATTGATATCGGACCGTAGATCTAGTGAGGCAAACGGAATGGTATTTTTCAGTTTGAATATTCTAGTATAATGGAGACTGCTAGCATGATCTTGCTGTCGAAATGAATCTAGCACTCTTGCTGAAATATTTTTCTATGGTTCAGGATAAAAACATTTACCCGTCTTTTCAAGGTTTTCCTAGATCGATTTTTTTTAGGAACATTCGATTTGACTTACAGAAAAAACGTAACTGATAAACCTGATCCTGAACATTAGTGCAGTACATAGTACTAGTTTACACTTGATATGTTATGCTAATATTTGTCTCAAGTGCTTCACTGCTTCTGCAACCAATGAGTTTGCCTGTAAGAACATTTATAAGGTCGTGTTTATTTATTTTTTTTTTGTTGGCATTGCCAAATGAGATAGTAAGGAAAGCAGATTACTTGCACTGAATCTATTTTCCCGTGTCACTATGTGGAAAATATGAACATACTGCTCTGCCATTTCTTATTTGGAAATGTGTCATCTGCACGGATTGTTACCTTACCCGGTTACCCCACAAGTCCACAGGAGAAGTTGTATCCTGTATACTAGGATGCCATTTTTGCTTACTTTTGAGCAGCTGCCAACCAATCTAGACGCTTCATTGGATTACAATCTGGAACGTGTTTTTGCTTTGTCTGCTACTCTGCTCTAAATTTCTCTGGAAAATTGTTTGCATAGCTTTCCACTATGTGTCAGTGTGCTGCGCGTTCTGATCATTTGGACTCTAACGCTAGTTAACTGAAAACCCATATAATTTTCTTTTGTTGTTGATTGTAGAAGCAACCAATCAACTCCCAAGAAATTTATAGAATTTTGATAGAAGGGGGAAAATCATGGCAGCCATCAGATTATCGATGAAGCTCTTGATTGATACCAAGGCTCAGAAAGTCTGCTTTGCCGAGGCTGGTAGTGATGTCATTGAGTTTATCTCCTGCCTCCTTTGCCTCCCAATGAGCACCATCATCAACATGCTTACCAAGGAGCGTATGGTTGGTAGCATGGGCAATGTGCTTGACAGCGTGGAGAAGCTGGATTCCAAGTATGTAATCTCAAGCCAAAGCAAGGAACGCTTCCTCAGCCCGACGGTTGCCCCCACCGTGCTCTGTCCATTGCAGCAGCTGCTGCTGGATGCAAAGTTAAATGTCAATGCCAGCTTCTTCACATGTGAAGGGAAATCGACCGTCGTAAGCTACAGTACCACTAAAGTTCCTTGTGGATATTTTTCTGTTAGCAAAGGCGCTGTATGCCCTGTCTGCTCCACTCAAATGCACAGGGCAATTCCACATGTCAAAACCGTTGGATTTGTGGTTGGGACAGCCACATACACTGTCAGGGATGATCTCTCAATGACTCCAGCGTCCAGTGTGTCAAGCGTCAGCTTACTTGCACAGTGTGGTGTCAAGGACTTGAGCGCGCTGCAGGAACGGACCGTGAAGATTGGCAAGGAAGAGGTCTGTACTGTACTACTGTGTACATATCTCTCACTTTGAGTAAAGAGAAAAAAAAATCAGTCGTTTTTGTTTTTTTTTAATTGGCACTGTTGATGATTTTTGTGTTCAAATGTAGGTACTGGAGATACTCCTTGCTTCCCTGAAGTCTAAGACTGTGCTGACTGATGTGTTTCTCCCGAAGAGAAAAGTTAGCTGCAAGAGGGAAGCCTCTGGTTTGTTATAATGCAGTTTTACCAGGAACGACACCTGAAAATTACCACAGCTTGCTATAATTCTGAAAGTAGAATTCAGTAGGTCTTTAGTGTAAAGCGTCACTTTGCATTGCTTTTTTTATCAATTTAGTAAAAGTAGCCTAGAAAACAGTTGGCCTACTAGTTTGAAAATGTCTCTATATATGACTTCCAAATTCATATTTGTTATTGTTAGCTGTCGTGGTTCAGATCGATTGACAAATGCCAATTAACAACTGGGAGCGTAGGTCCGTTCTTTTCTCCAATAAGAGTTAGATCAAGATTAAGATTTCCGTGCACGCTTTTCAAACTACTTTACGTTTCGTGCTAAAACTCTCTATATAAAAGTTGCTCTAAAATATCATATTAATCTATTTTTTAAATTTGTAATGATTAAAACTCAATCAATTATACGTTAATACCATCTCGTTTTACATAGTCATGTTTGTTTGGATAAATTCTGGGTTACAAATTCTTTGTTCTGGCCTTCCGGGGTTTCTGTTCATTCCGTGTCTGTACTCATGACCATTTATATTCGCCTAGTAGAAGAATTGACAAGATTCGTAAATATTTTGACGTTTAGCGTAAGATTTAGTTAAACCTTTAAAACTTGAGATAATCTAAAAAATGCCATTGACAAACATTCAAATCCAATAAATATCATTGATAAGTGTGAGTTTTAAGAAATGTCAACGTACAAATGACTTTTCTTAAAAATATTATCGCCGTTAGGGTTCCGTCCATTCTGCATTGCTTAGTGCTATAGGATGAACGGAACCCTAACAACGATTACATTTTTGGGACAAAATCGTTTGTACGATGATATTTTTTGGATTTGACGCTTGTCAATGGTATTCTTGGATTATCTCTTAAACTTTGACCATAAATAGTTTTCGTATGTGTAGATTTGCCTTCAAAAGTAATATCATATTATGACAAACTTGTGCATTTAAAAAGAAAAAAAAAGATTGTATGAGTAGATTTTCCTCTAGAAGTAATATTATAAACTTTTAGATTTTATAATACAAAATGGATGGTGAAAGTTTGAAATGTTTAACCAACTCTTATCCTAGACACAGACAAATAAGACCATCAAATACTTACTGTACGACCGATGGAATTACATGTTGATAGTACTTGCATACTTACTCCGTCCACAAATTATGGGTACAAACTCCCAATTATAAGGAAGTACTTTTCCAATCCATCCAAAGCATCCATTATTGTATCGCTAGGCATGATTTTTCTAAGCTGATGAAGTCACATGAAAAGGATTGACATAGAAAATAGCATTCAAAATAAATTTGATTGAAATGTTTAAACCATTCTCGTCCAAACAAGAAAATAACTGGTGAACAAGCCAGCTGTCAGCTGTGTCCTCTTTGTATATGACCTCCAAAAAGGCATAAATTTGAAGCAGTAAAATTAATTTTATTGAAAATTTCGGGTTCAACCATGGCACATGCAAATTCAATAACACGAGTGTGGAGATTATGGATACCTCATATCTACATGACATTATAATTTAGTCGGATATACGGTACCAAATATAGATAGAATATCTCTATGAGGACTCGGGTTAGATTCTAAACTTGTATGTCAAGGAAATACTCGGGATCTTAGTCGGTTACGATTGTATTTCATCTATAATCCCATATTCCGTTAGGATATGGACTATATTTTGTAAAGCGGACCTCTTCCCCTATATAAGGAGGGGTCTGTGTGCGGGGGCGTGATCTTTTTTCCAGTTTATACAATCAATAACATACTCGGCGGAATCATCCCCGGACAGGAGTAGGGTATTACTTTTTGAATAAGAAGGCCTGAACCTGTATAAAATTCCTTGTCTTCAAACCCATCCACTTTCCTAGCTTGATAGCCACCCCCTTTTTATTATTGCCGAAATCTTGTTTCGACAGTTGGCGCGCCAGGTAGGGGCAGCATCAAGTTTTTGCTGACTAAGTACGATGGGTTCCGTCTCCGGCATCGACGACTTCGCCTTCCCTCCCGGGCAGGCGTTCCGGTTCGATAGCCTCAACTTCATCACCAACAACCTCAGCAAGATCTCTCTCCTTGACTCGGATTCGAACCAGTCGGGGAGAGACCATGTCCCCGCGCCGTTCGGTATTCCGAACTCGGCCGAGGCCTACTCCAAGATCATCTCTCTCGGGTCGGCTTCAAACCACTCGGACGAGATCCAATCTACTCCTCCGCGACCAGATCAAGACGACGGGTCCTATCCCTCAATCCTGATGAGACTTCCTGATGATTTGGCCGCTGTCTTTACAGCCAAGACATCTCCCACTCGAAGATCTAGGCGAACTCCGGCTTCGGCCCCGATCCAATCTAGATCCAGAGAGGTTGGCGTTATACTCCAACCTCTTGGGACAGTCTCGACGGAAGAGTTGGATGGCTACCTTAGCTTCCCTGACGTCAGTTCTCGACCAACCGAGATCCTCGACTGCGACGACTTCGGCTACCACTACGACCACGGCGACTTCGACGACAGCTATGAGGATAAGTACACGCCTCTCTTTTTCGGCGTATTCATGGCTGACAACGAAACGGAGGAACAACGCCGAGCCAAAGAAGTGGAGGAAGAGCGCACACGACAAGAAACCGAACGTCGCCGACTGGAGGAAGAACGACAACGACAAGAGCGAGAACGACTACAGCGTGAGCAACAAGATCGCGAGCGAGTTGCAAAGGAGGCTGAAGATCGACGGCAACGCGCCTTGGAATCCAGGCGACGAGCGAGAGACCTCATCGGGCAACAAGACGTCGATGAAACAACGGTTTTTCGCACCCCCCAGCAGAACGCGGTTGCAGCAATCACTCTCCTTGACACCCTCCTCAAGGAAGACGCACTCAACCAAGCTGATCATGTTGTCAACATCTTGAACCAGACGAAGACCATGATCGCTGCCTCGGTTCCAGCCAACTCCGCAAGCACCCGCACCCCGACTGGTAGCCGAGTCCCTCATCTTCGATCTCAAGACTATCACCAACCAAGCCTCAGCATTACCGGCGCCGGATCTAGTCGCAAGAGCAAGGGACATGATGAACGATCTGTTCGTTTGCCTCCTGAACAACATAGGGAGCGCCGAGTTGAACGACCACACTTCCCACATCGAAGACGCCCCATCGATCTTCGTGACACCATCAACCAGCGCCGCGCGGCAAGAGGACATCATTCACCGGACCGCTACGACGACGACATGGACGGAGTTGCTGCCTTCACAAATGATCTGCGTCGAGTGAATTGGCCAGCTGACTTTAAGCCGACTGGAATCGAGAAGTATGACGGCACCACCAACCCGGAATCCTGGCTCACCGTCTACGGTCTTGCAATCCGCGCAGCAGGAGGAGACAGCAAAGCCATGGCGAACTACCTGCCCGTGGCCTTGGCGGATTCTGCCCGGTCCTGGCTTCACGGGCTACCCCGTGGCACAATCGGATCATGGGTAGAACTACGCGACCACTTCATCGCCAACTTCCAAGGCACTTTTGAACGCCCTGGTACACACTTTGATCTCTACAACATCATTCAGAAGTCTGGAGAATCCCTTCGAGATTACATCCGACGCTTCTCCGAGCAACGCAACAAGATCTCCGATATCACCGACGACATCATCATCGCCGCCTTTACTAAAGGCATTCGCCACGACGACCTAGTCGGCAAATTCGGACGCAAACCTCCCAAGACGGTTAAGCAGATGTTTGAAAAAACCAACGAGTATGCCAAAGCCGAAGATGCTATTACTGCGTCCAAACAGTCGGGCACCACTTGGAAGCCAAGGAAAGACACGCCGACCGCAGGAGGGAGTGGAAGTAACAACCGCAAGGATCGCAAGCGTAAGCCCGAAGAACTTGTGGCAACAACCTCTCCATCTTCCCGACAACGTCCCCGCGTCAACACATTCGACAAGATAATGAACTCCCAATGTCCGCATCATCCCAACTCCAACCACGTGGCCAAAGACTACTTCGTCTACAAACAATTTGCGAAGCAATACGTCAAGAATGCACGTAAGCCCTCAGACGGAGATCAAGGCACATCAAAGAAGAAAGATGATGAAGATGATGCCCCGACTGGTTTTCAAGACCATCGTAAAGAACTCAATCACATCTTCGGCGGACCTCTGGCTTACGAATCTAAGAGAAAGCAGAAGCTAACAGAACAGGAGATCAATGCGGTTCAGCCCAACACGCCCCAATACCTTCGGTGGTCAGAGATAGCAATCAAGTTCGACCGCTCGGATCATCCCGACCGAGTGGTCCACCCGGGGCGGTACCCCCTGATACTAGACCCAGTGGTTCGCAATGTCAAGCTCCGAAGAACTCTCATCGATGGTGGCAGTGCACTCAACATCCTTTTCGCTAAGACCCTGGACGATATGCAGATTCCTCGCACGGAATTAAAGCCAAGTAATGCACCCTTCCACGGTGTTATCCCAGGATTATCAGCCACACCACTCGGCCAGATCACTCTTCCGGTTACCTTCGGCACTCGGGAGAATTTTCGCACAGAAAATGTTTGTTTCGAAGTCGCTGATTTCGAGACAGCGTACCATGCTATACTCGGACGACCGGCTCTAGCCAAATTTATGGCCGTCCCACACTACACCTACATGATGATGAAGATGCCTGGTCCTCGAGGAGTCATATCACTACGGAGCGACATCAAGCAAGCCGTCACATGTGACAAATGTAACATCCCGGCTTATGGCTTAATAGGATTAATAGAATACTCATATCAACAAGTTGCAACTTCTTTTCCGGAAGCCAATCTCCAAAGAACTCCAGTGTTAAGCGTGCTTGGCCTGGAGCAATTTTGGATGGGTGACCGACCGGGAAATTCTTCCCGGGTGCACACGAGTGAGGACAAAGTGTGCAGAAAAGACATGTGTTGGTCTGTGAGGGCAGTCTATGACCTGTGGGTCCGTGTGGACCCCTGATTTTGGAAATCGGAAATCATCTGTGTTTATCCGTACCAATCCCTGGATCAGTAGTTGGTACACACATACATAGTTGAATTACAACATATCACGAATGAATTCAGGTTAAAAGAGTTAAATACTTACATTAGGGCCAGGTAGGCCAACAACTATCAGAGAACAACAGCGGAAGACAAAATAATATAAGGGCCCGGTTAACATGCCACAGGCAGTCGACTGGGGAACGAGACCTAGAACAAGACCGCACTCCGATCATCTTGTTGGATACGCA